ATCCAGCGGGCTGACAGATTAGGGTAGTTTGTTTTGGGCCAGTTTAACCCAAACAAACTAAAGGTTCACATTGTATAGCCCGCGTATAAGACAACCCTCGATTATCGGGGGATGTTTTTAAGTATAAAAAGCTTGTCTTATACGCCGGCAAATACGGTAGTCCTTTTCTGCATATCCTGTCTCTGAACACGAACCCTCCCCAATGCTGCTTTATCTCGCAAAGGTTACTTGTGAGTAAGGTAAATCCACATCTTCAGAGTCCTCAATGGTATCCTGTCCCCTATATCCATGACAGTAACAAACAATGCATAGCAAAGACAGTATCTGTAAAAAGCCTAAGACTTTTGATTATCACTCATCTGAAACACATTTGAGAATCTGTAAATGGGATTTGTTAAAAAAAAAAAAAAAAAAAAAAAAAAAAAACAACAACAAAAACAAAATGAATAGGCAGAAATGAAATGAGTTTTAAGAAGTGTTGTGTCAACTGTACTACAGAGATGCATGTCTCATGTTTATTTGCAAATCAGCATATGCTGTCTGCTTCTGTTTAAATGATGGCAATATGCAAGAAGTTTTTGTTCCCCACTTATCTCCCTTCTGACCGTATGCAGTAGCTGTATATTGCCACATTGCATACCTAATTGAATGATTTTGTAATTTAGCTGACAGTTTGGTTTAGCCCTCTGCCAGCTTTACTGAGACCAGCAGCGGAACAATCTCCATACATCAAAAATCAGAATCCAATACACACAAAAGAAAAGCAGAGCATAACATTGACGCCACACTGTATTTGCACAGTCGAAATTGTCACAGCATGGAGAATAATAAAAAAATCTGCTTTGGTTCTTATAAAATTTTCTGCTTGTATTTTTTATTTATTTATGTAATGGTCCAGTGTATCGGCGTCTGCTCTGCCGTACATTCCAAAAATGAACTGTGACAGACACAGTTTTGGTTTGTGACCTACCACCTTTAAGATTAGGCTTGTCCAGGAGTTAAACGCAAACAACAAGTCACTTGGGAATTGAACAATATTACTTGATGAAATAGAAGTCGCAGGCTGAAATTGGCTCTTTATTCTGCTACATTGATACATTTACTGGAAACTACAGGCCATTTCAGCCATGTGTATATTTCATTTTACCTTGAAATGACTTTTCTCCTTCTCCTTGGCTGAACTTAAGATTGCATATGTTACCTTACAGTATTCAGTATTCACGTTTTAAAGGCAACTCTTATGCAGTAGCAAACAATAAGTAGAAAAATAGGGAAGGTAGACATTGGGCGTTATGTATGAGAATTTATGCTTATACAATCATGCACAGATCCTGCACAGGGGATCAAAGTCCATGCTTATGAACTAGCACTAGTGATCAGGTTACATAGTATACGTGTTGGATTTTTTGGTTTGCTATGGAATGTACCATTCAGCATTCAAACCTACACCAGCCTACGTTTTGTGGGGGTATTTTGGTGTCTACCTATAGGAATAAAACAGCATGGCTGTTTTTTAAGGAGTTTGTAAAAAAAAAAACTTATTTTTTTTTAAAAAGCCCCGGGAAACCATATGCGAAATTGTAGTGCACATGGGCAGATCTTTGTGTGCATGCACAGAAGGTTGAGTATGTATACTTTGGACTTATTTATAGAACAGAAATGTGTACAGGGTTTTTACATGCTTTTTGGCTTGGTACATGCACATTTCATTTCTTAGCTGGCCACAAAACATATTTTTTTATTTCAACTTAGTCCTGAGACATCACAGGTCCTCCTTACTCAAAAGTGGCCGTACTTACTCCTGGACTGAGAAGTGTTTATGTAATGATGTGTGAGCAACACTTATTGCAGGGGTTTAGTCAGTGACATGCATGCCTAATCAACTTCCACTTTCACACACATGCCTTGATTTGTGGTTAAGCATCTACAGTATGGAATTCCATTAGACAGGATCACTACAGATTAAGTTATAGAAGAGAAAGCCACTCTCTCTGCACAAACACATTTAGGAATGGAAGATATGTTAAAAAGTGTGTGAACTTTGGAAGCTGTGCCCCCAAAAAAAGCAAGTGGAGAGCAAAGGCCTAGTCACCAGTATTGTGGGCAGGCTCCCTGCAGCTGATCTTTCTGCATTACTGACCAACCATGCCTTGTTCCACACTGTGTCTCTGTGCGGAGATGGCCACCTTGGTATAGAAGCAGGGCTTTGCTTGCTAATGTCAGAGCTGCTCCCCTAAAGACTGGTTATCTAATGACTGGTGATCTGTTGAAGCATTACTCAAGAAGCAGAAGGAGAGGTGGAGGAAACGCAAAACCATAGAATGAATAAAGCAGTAGCAGGGTGAGGCTTGCATCAAATCTCGCTACAATTCTTGTGAGACTAACAGTCACAGCAACAGTTGCCTTAGATGACCTCACACATTAGATATGCAAATATCAGGCTAAAGGCACAGACGTGTTTATGCACAGGAAGCGCACCACAATTTTTAAGGATACATTCAAGACAAAAGGTACATTTTTTAGAGTACAGCTTAGGCACAATTAACATTTCTAGATGTGTCCTATTAGACAACAACTCACTTTTTTTCAGTTTAGCTTCACTTTAAATTAGATGTCAACTCTCCCAGCCACCCAAGATCTTTGCACTACTAAATATAAGATGTGAGCTAACCAATGAAGTGGAGTGAGTCGCCTATGTCATGGATGTTATCATTGACCGCATCACCACATCAAGGAAAAACTGACAGACACGTTTCTGATAACTCATTGCAGCAACTCATCTATTGTATGGTTTCTCTTTTCCATGTTCATGTGGTGCAATATGACATGGCAGCACTTCAGCTTACAGGCAATGGAAGGAGGAAGACATGAGCATCAGGCTGAGTTACTTTTGGGGCATGACCTATTCTTGCATGGAGGGCATAGAGTAGGATGAGGAAGAGACCATGCTTAGCCTTTGCTTACATGGTTATAGTTGCAATCAGAAGCAAAAGGTATGTTGTTTATCGTGGCCTGCCATTCTAAGTCTGATTTGTTAAGCGGAAAGATCAAATAGGGGATCTTGTGCCAAAATCACCCACTTTATAAAACAACCTCGCTTTCTTGTAGTTTTGCTCATATCATACAATACCTGTTCTGTCTTAAATTCCTTCATATTAAACTTCTACAAATGCCAACAGTTCTAGACAAGAGGAATACAACTATGCAAAATGTTGTCAATTTTGCCATGCAAGAGCATGAAGAATTCCTTCATAAGCCACAGGGTCAGTTGGCTTAATCTCTTAAATCTGAATGTTTTACTATTAGCATTTAGTATTTATATCTGCATATTATCACTTGCAGATAATTATCCAATCCTTTTTTTTCCTGTTACCGTTTTTCCTTTTAGTACCTAATTTAGTGGAACATGGACAGCATAGGTGTACAACTGAAGTCTCCTTGCCTTTTGTGCAAATCTCAGAATTAAAAATAAATAAATGTGTCAAATATTTATCCTGGATATGTCAAGAAACAAGCGTTTGAGCTTTGCCTATCATAATAATAGCTATAAAAGCTGGTTATTAAAGGATGTTACAGGTATGTGCACCTCTACACGTTTTGTGTTTTGGATGACAGAGTCCCTTTAGGGACAGCAGAGGACATTATGACTATCCCAGCACTTTAAAAAATCACCACTTTGAGCACATGGATTTGATTTGATGTCTGCATTTGATCCCTGCTTATATACCTCAGGCATCATAATTATTATTTCTGTAAGAAAACCAAAATAAAACAAGTCTAGGAGCATGGGGTTCTTTTTTTCTATTACGTTACATTAAATTCTGTACAGCTACCTCAAACAACACAGGACAAACTATATCATTAAAAAAAAATAAAAAAATCCCCCAGGGTGTTTTGTTTGCAGTTACTGCTGACAAATAGAATTTTAGATATTTCCTCGTGTTGGCTCTTAAATGTGAAAGACAACATGGTGTGCCCATTATGGTGTGCTTTTGTTCCTGACTAACGATGATGATTTTTAGGAAGTAACAGTAGTATAGAACTGTGGCAATAAGTATTCTTTGCCTGTAACATTACAATTTCTTTTGTTATGCCTAACAAGCATTGTCAGAGAATTAACAGTGTGTGACGTGAATACATTCTTTTGGTTTATATTCAGAATTTGAACTATTTTCTATTGACAAAAAAAAAAAAGCTTCATATGAAACTGAATTTTCTGTTACAATGTGACGTTATTATATTATTTATTCAAATAATATGTAAACTTTAAACATAAATATATATCACAGCAAATGTGTTTTGAAACATTTAAAGTAGCTGTAAACAAATTACTAAAAACCTATATAAGCTTTGATATATTAATGTAATTTCAAAAGGATTTTTTAAGATATTTATAAATCTGTATATTTAATTCAAATAGTACCTAACGATCCTGCCATGAATGAGTTTTTGTAGGCACTTCCAGTTATAAGGTCACAATGTTTTGTCCCAGTCTCAAAATTGATATCCTGCATTGTCAACCTGTCACACCCTCCCAATGCAAACTACTACATGGGGTGAGCATGCCAATGCACATTGCATAAACATGATCAATTGTTGTCCTCATTAGGAAACCCTAACCTACCCTACCCTAATGAATGATGTTTAGTCATTATTTTTGTGCATGTGCATGGATATGTGTGGGTAGACCCAAAGTGGCTGTAAACAGACTGCAGGAAATTAGCATTGTTGATAAAAAAGCTATCATTCAAATATCATTCAGTAAGGTTTACATGCACTTTAAAACTAAAAGTCCTGCCTCAAACCAGGTACGTCAAGGTGTCTCCCTATACCACTAGTGCAAATTATGCTATTTTAATTGTGGGAGGAAGGAAGATTTCCGTGTTATCTATCAAACAGAGGATTTTTATTTTTTTGGACATCCGCTTTAAATACATTTAGATCATTACAGTAAGAAGTAGTATTGAAATAATAAATATGATAATAAAACAATAACTAACCTCTTTCACAAGAGCGGCCGAGGTAGCCAGTAGCAGAACAATCACAGACATATCGATTCCATCCATCTCTACAGATTCCGTTATTCTTACATGGATTGTTGATGCAAGGCTTGGCTGTTTCTCTAGAACATGAAGGCTTTACTCCAGCTGTGCCTTGAAGTTCCGCCATTTGGCGTATGTCTTTACTTTGGCCATCTATAAATAAGTCTCTTATGCATCCAACATATCCATAGTTCAGAGGAGCTGTCCACACTTCAGTTGGGAAAACCAAGCCGGCTTTATTTTCAGGCAAACCCCCAAGGTACAAGTCATCATCCAGGTCAAGAATTTCACTTTCACCAGGAGACGTGTACGGATTGCGTACAGTATTGACAGATATGGTACCTAGGCAGATATATATATATATAAAAGGATTAGGAAATGTGTACAGGTAGTTGCACTCAATAATAAAAGTACAAACAGAAACGTGGACTAAAAATAGTAACTTATCAGATTATGATTGTTACCAGATTGTCATGGTAAAGGTAGATTCCCAATTACCGCTGAGTTCCTGTCAGCTTTAAGAAATAACCTTTGGGTGCCCCCCTTCCCATGTAGTCTAATGACATTCTAAGTAATTATGTCAGCAAGGGAGTGGTTGCATGACTGGAAAAGAGGAGTGACTGGCAGTGAAGAAGTAGGAGCAGGGAATAAGGTAAGGATTCCTCCACATTACAGTCCCCCTTAGACTAAAGGCCCACAGGGTCCTTAATATATAGTTCAGCTTTAGGTAAA